TGGTACTCGTATCCACGTCCTCTGTCTGGGCAGCGAAAACTTTGCTGATATGTGACTCGGTCGAAGTGACTTTTTTTGGGCCCCCTGTATGTGCCGCCCCACTGGCCAAGTTCCTCAGAGAAAGAAAAACTCTTAGAAATCTATCAGATAGATGGGAGAGTTCAGCGAGATGGCAAGTAGCATGTGAACGGGGTCGCACTAGAAAAGGAACCTAGGGGTGGGAGGAGTGGGGGGTGGAGTTTGTACATTGACGCCGCCTCTCAACCCTTCCCAGTGCTGTACCCTAGACTACCGCACGTAGGGAACTGAAATGCGACAGAAGACTGGAGGCTGATGTTCATGGTTAGCAGTACTCTATACGACTAAATGCCCAGTTGATGCCGACAGCTACAAACTAGCGAGATCATCCTACCAAACTTCCATTACGGCAAAGCCGCACTGAGAGTCACGACGGACAAGGCGAGAGCACAGGCGTCTGCCCGATGTTGACAGCTGCTGCCATTAAAGAAATCTATTTGTAGGCAAAATAGATTACAGATATATTACAGCAAAGACCGGATTCCGAATCCGTCCGGTGGCTGGCTACCTTTCGGCACGCGACTTCCTGGCTGGTCTTGCATATCGAGTGTTCTTCTGCACTCAGTATCTGCGACATCATGCTGACCCTCTCTACACACCTGAGCCGTGAGTCACACCATTTTCCTATCAGATATCAAAAGCTCCCCCACATACTGCCTATCTTTTTATCTTCTACCTTTTCCGCCTAACTTCTTATTACGCTACACAAACCCATTTTCTTCCCAGAACTTCACGAGGTTTGCCAAATGATCCACTAAGAAAGTGATAGCGATGTGCTCTAGCGCAATATTCTTCACCTTCCCGTCCACACAACGACTTCATAGACACTTCCCGCGATCAAGTGATCCGCGAAATGCGTTTTCTTCATTTGAAACGGCGAGCAAAGAAGCTAGAGATTATTGTGACCGTTGCAACCACCATTACTTTCACTCTGCAAGACAACGGCTTACAAGCGGATTGCGTGTGTCATAGCGTTGTCTGGAGCGTCGTAGGGTGATTTCCTGTACGCCTTGCAGGGAACTTCGAATCCTGCTGATTGGGCGTGCCGACGTCCGACAAACTCGTCCAAGGCGCCAGCCCCGTTGATAAGGGGGTCTCTGTTCAAAGTGTCTCCAAGGTTCTTCCCTTCTCTCTCTACTGAGGGTGGGGGGGGGGGGAGGAAGTGGGATCATCTATGGGCTAGTCGCTCATGAGCGTGAGCGCCCTCTACCTTAACACTTGGCGTGGGAACTGTTCTGAAGGCAACGAGAGCTGTCTTTTTGAACAGGTTCTCAGCCGTTACTGAGTAGATGAACAAATTATTTTCAGTACGTTCGAAAGTACTTTGCTATCTTAAAAATAATATTCAGGGATACTGTTACACGAGCTGATGGGTCATATGGCATTATTCGCAGATCCTGACTTCGCTCAGTTTTCCCAGGAGATTGGCCTTGCTTCTCTAGGTGCAAGCGATGATGACCTGAAAAAACTTGCTACGGTAAGCGAAGGATACCTATTGTGATTTGTACGCAATTAATCGATACGACAAACTATTTGATCGATAAAATATCACCGCAACTAGCAAAAGCACGGCTGAAAGAAACGGAGCAGATTCGCTTCCTTATCGTACTTGTCCATAAATCAAGATAGGTAAGCACGTTAGGAGGCTAACGTTGCCGTTTTAAGTCCCGCTATAATCTTCTTGGAATACGAGTTGTATAGGTCCTTGTCCCAGGCTCAGACCGACAGTTTTTGTACTTTCAACGCAATACTATACACTCGAGATCCCTGAGATCGGGTGACGGCGTGGCCGCAGTTAAGCTTACCGCTTGAGGCGTTTTACGGGCTTCTGATGCGATATTTTCATCTCGACACAATCGTTGTCGTGTCTCTGTCCAACACAGAACAAGATGACAGTTGTCCCAGACTGGAATATTCCACTAGTAACCAGTTCCTTTACAGTGTTCGAATGCTCCGCCTACCCGATCTCAGGGATTTCGAGTATACATACCATCGCTCACTGAAACCCTTCAAGGGATCGTATTTTGTTTCTAGGAGAATAGGGTCGTATTTACCTTCGAGTGCGATTTTTTCATTTGCTAAGCTTTCCCGTTAGAGAGCGGAGGTCCAGGGTGAGTGAACGACTTCGAGGAATGGAAAAGTGGATTTGAACATGATTAACACTAGTTCCCATTCCACGCACGACGCCTTTTGAATAGATCCATTACCCTTCGTGAATTTGCTCCCTAAACACTGATGACTATACAAAGACCCGGAATCACCTCAATGCAAACTTATTTTGAAGCTTTATAGCTCTACTTCTTCTCCATTGAATTCGGTTTGTGTTCTGATGGGCACTCCGACTACACGGCTAACGACACAAACTCGAAATACAAAATCTATGGAGCAGGACTGTTGAGCAGCGCAGGGGAGCTGCAGGTGAGTCATCATTTTCAGCAGTTGTGATCAGTTGCTCCGTCTGGAAGCGTTACCTCGGGATGTGTAGAAGTAGCTGCGATTCCATGCGGCAGGGCGTCAATTGTTTGCTCTGACGAGAAGGATTAGATACGTAACGACTCGCAAGCGCTGCGGCCGCGTTATGATTCCATGGCAAATTAGCGGTGGAGCAGATCTGTTGCCGGAGTGGGAATCCTTGGGGGCTTTCACTATCGCTACAATTTTTATTCACCGTTGTAGTCAGCTCGACGGTGTCTTTTACTCAACATTCCCTTAGTTGGTTGCCCATCTACTCCATTCCAATTTTCTTCCTCTTACACGTATTTAGTACTCAGAACTTTATAACATTCTCTCATTTTTACTGTACAATTCCTTCTCATTTTTATTGCATGAATTTTACACGTGAGCTTTTTCTACATGTTTTCTCTTTTTGTCCTATTTCTTGCTCCTTCCCCTGTGTAGTCCATGTCCATGTCTTCAACCCTGTCGTACTGACGAGCCTGGGGGTTGGTAAGACTTCGATGATTCGTCTACGATAACGGGCGAAACGGATCATCTGTGCTTGTGGAGTGTATTCCTTTCCCCAATGTTTGTTTTTCTTTGCTTCTAATTGTTACTAACACTACCATCTAAGCCTAATTTATGTGTTTCATTTTAATTCATTTTAGCATGCTTTTCATCTTTGATTGTTTCATGTGATTCAAATTTTTCAATTGTAGTCCTTAGTTCTATTAAAGTTGCTGAAAAATTAGCAGTAAATAATCACTCATCATGATGTAATCGTCAAGTAGAGGAAAGGTCAGGAGCTAGTGAGAGAGCAATTAAGTCAGGCAACACCG